GGAACTGTGAAGAACTGTAGGGTAACTGTTATTGTAAATCACAATGTGGTAAAAAAATAGCTGAGGTGGACTACGAAAGGAAGTGAGTGGTGAAGAGAAGGTAGATATCAGACTGAGATGCTTTTAACTGTAATGTTAGAGATGATGGAGTTTTTGATAATAACAAGGTTAGGGCATTGCCATGGGAGTGGGTTGCTGCTTGAGAAGGAGGAAGAAAATGAAGAAAAGGAGAGGGCCTACATCATCTACAACCGGAAGCTCGAGTTATCAAGAATGTGACTTGATGGAAAGACAGTGAGACCAGTGCTAAAACAACCCATGAATGAAGGGGAAGGATCAAAAGGAAAGTCACTAAAACAGAGACAAGCAGTGGTGATACATTTTTTCCAAGAGCGCAAATTGTAAGAAAGAAGAAAAAATGGACAAGTTAATAGGAAATAGAGAGGACATGAAGATCTCCTACATGCCCTGTAGCACCAAAGTATAAGAGGGAAAAAATCCCTACTAGAGATGGTCATATGGAAAGCAGTACACTTAAAGCATAACCAGGTTTCAGTACCAGTACCTTTCAGAAGGAAACAGAAACTTTCCAAAAATAGGTTAAGAATATAATGAATTTTGCTGACCACGAGCTCCATATAGTACAGCAAAGGGTTTGGGGTGGGTCAAATTAGTAGTGGGGAACTTGGCTCAAATTAGGCTATGCACAAATGCATGAATCCCAATGACAGGACACAACATAGGAAGTCTGAACTTCTTGGGCAAAATAAGGTGAACAGGACGAAAGGTAAGATTGAATTAGTCTTAATGGTCTCTTAGGTCAGTGGTAGGCAAACTGCGGCTCGCGAGCCACATGCAGCTCTTTCGCCCCTTGAGTGTGGCTCTTCCACAAGATACCACGTGCAGGCGCGCGTACAGTGAGATTGAAACTTCGTGGCCCATGCGCAGAAGTCGGTTTTCGGCCTGGGCGAGTCAATTTTAAAGAAGTACTGTTGAGATTTGGCTCTGTTGACTAATGAGTTTGCCGACCACTGTCTTAGGTGATAAGCAAAAAAACAAACAAACAAAAATAAACTAGTTCTAACTATTGCCTCCTTATTGAGACTAGCTTTGTAGTCACAGCAGCTTGCATGCTGCCCCCTACCTGCCCCTGACACATACACATACACATACACACACACACACACACACACACACACACACACACTTTCTTCAACCTTTACCTTATCCAGGAAAGATCCTAGCATCCAGCATTATACAATTCCCCCTTGCAAAAAACCTTAAATCCTTCACACCCTCTCCTCTGCACTTGCCTCTAATTGTTGAAGAAAAAACCACAACACACCATCTAGTCTAAGTTTAAATTCATAAACACACATTTCAAATGGGCACTCCACCCTGATCAGCTACACTACATTTCTACAGTATGTGCGCTTTCCCCACTTTCCAAAGGGACCATCTCAGACCTTCTCCTTTCTCCTTAAATTTTCCATGTCAGTTCTTATTTCATCAGGGAAAACACGAAGAATACAGAGGACCTCATTTCCCTACAACAAAATTGGTTCATCTGTCTGCATCCAGATGCATACTTTCCACATTCCCTCTCATCCTTGCTCTTGAAGATCAAAGGCCAATCCCTCCACCATTTCTGTACTTGATCCTCTCAGCTCTTATTTTCTCAGTGACTTTGGCACCTTATCCCCTCCCCTGCAAAATGATTTTTCCTTCTCTCTGTCATTCTTATGATATAATATTACTCATCTTTTAAAACAAACTGAACAAACAAAAAATTCCACTACACATCAAAACTTTTTTCACGTTTGTGAAAAAAATAAAACAAAACACTTTTTTCACAAGCATTATTTCCAGATGTTGTCACCACTTGTTTGCTTTCATTTCCTCCACCTGAGCTCGCTTCTCCAACTTCCACCAATGCTGCTCTTGTCGAGGCAGACTTTGTCCTCAGCATGTTGACAGATCCAATGGTCACTGTTAATTTTTATATCTTAGTTGGCCTTTCAAAAGTGTTATATAAAATACTTCATTGTCTTGGCTTCTGGGAGACCACCGTCCTTGTTTTCTTCCTACCTTGGTCTTTTTTGCTGCTGCCGCCTCCTCTGAGCACCAAATATTGTATTTGATTGTAATAAGAATCAGTCATCTTCATCTATGTATTCCAAAAGAAATCTCAGCTACTCTTATGGCTTTAAAATGATTTCTATGCTTGCTAATAATGACCCCTAAGTCTTTATCTGCAGTCCTGAATTCTCCCCCACAACTCCAAACTTTGCATCTAACTGCCTACTTAACATTTCCACTTAGAAATCTAAAAGGCATCTTAAACTTAACATAGTCTACAGGACTTTTGATTTTCCTCCCCCTCCAAATATCTCTTCTCCATTTTTCCCACCTCATGAACCAACACGCCTATCTACCCCATTAGTTATGCAAGCCAAGTATCTTGGAGCCATCTCTAATTCCTGTTTTTTTTCTCATATCTTATAACCAATCTATGAATAATTCTGCTAAGCCCAAATTCAAAATATATCCAGAATCGAATAACTTTTCACCACTCTATGCAACCACCCTAGTACAAATCATCATTATGGCCCACCTGAACTATCAACTTTCTAACTGACCCTGCTTCTACACTTGTCTGTCTCCTAAAAAATCTTTTCTTCACACAGCAGGTAGAATTATCTTTAAAGTATCAACCTGATCACATCACGCTTTCTCAAAACCCACTAATAGTATCCATTCACATTTAAAATAAAAGCCAAAATCCTCAGTTGGCTTACAAAGTAGCACACGACCTAGTCTCTAGTCACCTTTCCAATCTGCTCCTCCTTCCTGCCTATTCTGCTCCATCCACAATGCCCTTCACACACGCCAAGTTTAATATGCCCAGGGGATTCCTCCGCAACACAAACAAATGAAATCAACAATAAATGAACTAAACAAGCAAACAAAAAAATGTCAAAGAACTGTGCTTGATTATCTTATCATTCAGATCCTCAGAGAGGTCTTCCCTAACTACCTGGTCTAAAACAGCCACCAATTACCCACATTATTTGAATTTTCTATATTGTATTTGTCACCAACTCTCTGATATTTTTCGTATTTACTTATTACCTCAGATTTATCCCTATCTATACCTCTTCACATAGCCATAAGTTCAAGAATATACTAACCATGACAGCTTAAGCCACTGTATCAAGACACATATCATTAAATTAATGAATCTCCATTTTACATACTGTAACTTAAAGAAGTTACCTTATTGAAGGATATAACTACTTGGTGATAAAGATTTAATTCAAAACCAGGTCTACTAATATTAGTTTTTACCTCTCTTTGCTATTGCTAGTCTCATGTTCATCTTTTCCACTCATATTTAGGCATTAAACTTCATGTCATAAATAACCAGGTTCCTTAATCCTTTCTTTTAAATCTTTCACTTGCAACCTCAAGGTAAATGTGTGCAGCCTTGAGGACGTTATCTCAAGCATCTAAAGAGGTTTACAAAAAGGAGTTGAGTTCTACATGAAAATAAACTCAGACCTCTCACACTACAAGCAAAGTTGGCTACAGAAAACTTACTTTTAAATAAAATTGGATGTACGAAAAATATCCATTCATAATTAAATTCTGCAGTAATTATAAACGGTCATTAAATTTATAAAAAATAAAAATTCCTGGGACTCTTTCCCCCTCCCCACATGGGAGTCCGTACTTGTTCTTCAATAAATTCCCACCTTTGCTATACAAAAATAAATAAATAAATAAATAAATAAATAAATAAATATTCCTGGAGTAACAAAACTAGCAGTTGCTACAACAGAATTTTCCATTGCAAGATATGCTAGGACACCAAGCAGACACTGCCATTAAACTGACAGTAAAAACGAAGACTTTGATGAGTCAATCTGAACTCATGTAACCTTAAGAAGACTGATACCAGGCTCTCACCTCATAGACGATGGAGGAAAGCAAATTCACAATGAAGAGGGGCATGATGAGCACACACAAGCAAATACTCAAAAAGAGCCTTCAGATAAGAAGTAATGAGGGTAGAAACAGGACCCAAATTATATTCTCCGGATTTCCGAATACTCTGATTCGTAATTCTACTCTTTTAACTAAAATTTAAATGATGTAATGTAAGCATCAAGTTTATATAAAACCATGTAAGACACAGTTTAGGAAATCCATTCCCATAAATCACTTTCAACTAATCTGAATGACTGAAAGACAAGGTTCACAGAAAGCCTTTTATTAGTCAAAATCCAATCAGAAATATTCTCCAAAATGTTTCACAGTGTCATAGAAACTACAGCGAAACTACCCAAATCCCAATGCCTTTACCAAAGAAAGTACCCGCATTTTCTACTTACCAGTCCTAAAATAATTCACAATTGAATCTCTAGAAATTCCTGGAATCTTACAGGTAGAAAATAGCATTCGGAATTGATTCATATCTAGAGGAGTATTTCCAACTTTATCAACAGGCAATTTTTCTCTATTAAAACAAAAAGTAAGTACTTTAAGAAGTAATTATAAAACTTATAAACCAAACAGTCACAACTGTAATATTCATCCCCATCTAAGTAAATTAAGCTTCTCAACTTTACCTGACACTTTGGGTAAATTTCATACTAAATTCACCTTAAGTATCCTTACTTTCTTAACAGTTGCCAGTAGTTCAAGTTATGCCAAAGACTTATGCTTCCTCTTTCCAATTGCGTGCCTTCCTTTGGAGGCCAGTAGTGTTCCATATGGGGTGCCGGACCCCCAAAGTTGACATTCAGTTGTGATGGTATACGGACATCCAGGTAGGCAACATTCAGCCACCACTCTTCCAGCTAAAATAAAGAACATCAGATAATATATGAATATGTAAAAAATAAGTTACTGTCTACTTGGTGTGTGTTTTTTCCTCTCTTCTTTCCTTTGGAACTGTAGGGTCTTAAATACTGTTGAGTTTAACTATGTTATCAAAAACATGAAACAAAAAGCACTTTCAGGCAGATCAAGTTGAAGTCACAAATACCTGACAATGTATTTAGGTGTGTTTTCTCAGAGTACCTGAGAAAAATAGCTACTCAATAAATCCTCAATTAAGGGATTTACAATTTTCCTTTTCCAAGCAAAAACTAAAATACAAAACCAGAAATATAAAAACTTTTTGAGTAGGTTTAAAAAAACTAATTTAGGTTTTTCACAATGTTCTGAATCCCTCTTTCTCTATATGCACTTTAATTTCATGCATCAGTAAGCATATCTTATCAAGTTACCTAGAGTTATTTTTGAAGAAACTGATGTTCTCAATTACAATGAGTCATTCAAAAAAAGATATAAATAAAAAGGATACAGGCAAAACAACTTGTTACCTTTACCCTAATTTAATTAAAATCATTCAAGGTTCGCCCTGGCCAATTTGGCTCAGTGGATAGAGCGTCAGCCTGCGGACTGAAGGGTCCCGGGTTCGATTCCAGTCAAGGCCATGTACCTTGGTTGCAGGCACATCCCCAATAGGGGGTGTGCAGGAGGCAGCTGATCGATGTTTCTCTCTCATTGATGTTTCTATCTCTATCCCTCTCCCTTCCTCTCTGCAAAAATAAATAAAAATATATTTTTAAAAAAATCATTCAAGGCTCTCCCTGGCCAGTGTGGCTCGGTTGGTTGGAGCATCGTCCCATATACCAAAAGGTGGTAGTTTGATTTCTGGTCAGGGCACATACCCAGGTTGTGGGTTCGATCCCATTGGGGCATGTGCAGGAGGCCATCTATCGATGTTTCTCTCTCTCCCTCCCTCCCTCTCTTCCTCTTTTCCTCTCTCTGAGATTAATTTTTTAAAAAATCATTCAAGGCTCAAGATTGAGAATAAAGCAATCTGGAAGTATAAAATTTTATTATTCCATTATAGGTATCAATGGCTGATGAAAAAGATAAGCTTGCTTTTTCATTTCGAAAACTAAAATAACTGTAATCATTATTTCTAGATTAAAGTAATTTTTAATTCAATCCTTTGGTTTACACTACACAAGTAGTTAAGCTGAAGAAGTCAAAGAAGATTCCTTGTAGAAAATTGATATCCTTAATGACTATTATAGCAACGTGTCATTAATCTAATTAACACACAGAATACTCATAACCATTTCCCCTCCAATTTTGTAATGGCCCTTTTTCTCACATGCATTGTTTCAATACTTGTACACCACTGTTTTGATGTTTTCTGGCAACAATGACCTGGATAATATGTTTATCTCAAGCCTGGTCTATAAACCACATGGAGTAGTTGTTAAAATAAGGATTTCTGGGTTTCATTCCAGAGATACTGCATCAGAATGACTGGTCTCAGGAAATCTGCATTTCAACAAGTTTTCCATATAATGAGAGTAGCCCACCCACAAAACTCAAAACTCCAGAGTTAAGCAGTTCATTCATTCTTTTGAATGATGATCATGACAACAGTGACTGCAAGAATTTTTACGGTAATAATTTTAAAACGAAAGCTATGTACATTTTTCATTTTTTAAGCATCATCAATTTTCTAATCTTAAGTATTATAACATACATACCCAATTTCTTTTTTCTTTTGCCCTTTCAAGTAATTTCTGGTGCAATTTTTCTCCAATACCATTTTGAAATTTTTTGACAATTTCTTCAGTTTTCTTATATTCTTCTTCATTTGCAAATGGCTTTACTATAAAGAAAAAATATGCATTAACGTAGTTAGACATCAGGTACCACAAACGCACCTCATTATTACTTACACAAATATTGAGACTCAGTTATGTAAAACAATTATGGAATATTAATTATCACAGCAGTTCAATAAATTAGAGTTTATAACATAAAAATAGCTAAAGAGCAACAATAAAAAATACTATAAAAATAAAACAGTGGAAATTATGTAATCTAATAACCATTTTCTAAAAAATTATTTTAAAATCATTATGGATGATGATAGTTAAAATGACAAAGGCAGGACTATCATGTAGCTATCAGTCCAATAGGAAAGTAAATCCTGTTGAGCCACAAATAAGAGAAATTAAAGCATCTTTCCACCAATGTTCAAGCAGAGCCTTGAAAATGCAACGTGCAAGTATAATGCCTGCCCAAGTATAGTGCTCGGTGCCCTGTGGCCAGTAATGGTTTCCTTTACAAAAAAAAAAAAAAGTGAGAGAGAGAGAGAGAAAGAGAAAAGAAAAAGAAAAAAGAAAGATACAGGGTTCTTAATCCATCAAAACCTAGTGCTCTGAAAATTAAACTATATCTACAAGTATTTTACAAATTTTAGAAATCTTGGGACATTAATATTTACCTTTTGTCCTATTTTGCCTTTTCAAAATCTTATCTTAAAATCAATTTAAATATCGGTATGCATAAAGAGTACAAGTGAATAATCAAAAACAGTGATTAATCAGTGAATTTAAAAAAAAATACTAGAATTTCCAGATGAAAGTAGATGAGAAAAAAAAAGAGAGAGAAAGAATTTAAAAATCATGTAAAAACCAAATGGCTTCCAGTTAAAGTGAGCTAAATACATAGATTCACCTCCACTACTTCTAGAAACTCACTAAAATGACAGTAATTTAAAAGGTATACTAGTAAATCTGTCAGGACAAAAAAAAAAGAGAGAGGACAGTAGATACATCAAGCTAACACTTTACAAATTACAAAATACATGGGAAAATGGCAACTTTGTAGAATGAAGCAAAGTATCTAAAGTGGGAGGTAGGGTCGAGTTAGGTATAAACCAAGAAGCAAGCCAATTCTAGAAAGGCTCAAGAATTCAAGACACATGTAATTCCAAAGGCAGAGGGCAAACTGAGGCTGAAAACAGTCTTTAGAAGCAGCGAAGCAGCTCACAATTGCCCTATCCACACTGGTATCTGTATAAAAACTTCCTCCAATGCCAGTAGAAATGTGGAGGTTTACTCTCAGAAGTTAAACCAGACAAGCAGAATACCTAGGTTCTAGTTCAAACTGAAAAAAGAGGGCTGGATTATGATGAAAATGCATACCCGGAACAATAAGTCTTCCAACCCCTTCCCTCTTCTAAGCTCCCCAAACACCAGCAGTCTGGCTTATGCCTTCTAAACAAATGATAACAGGATTCTTCTTTGGTAAAACTGATCAGTATAAGAGAAAGAAGTACTGGTATTTGGGTGTGACCTAGGACAGTGGTCGGCAAACAGCGGCTCGCAAGCCACATGCGGCTCTTCGGCCCCTTGAGTGTGGCTCTTCCACAAAATACCACGTGCGGGAGCGCACGTACAGTGCGATTGAAACTTCGTGGCCCATGCACAGAAGTCAGTATTTTGTGGAAGAGCCACACTCAAGGGGCCAAAGAGCCGCATGTGGCTCACGAGCCGCGGTTTGCCAACCACTGCCCTAGAAGGCTCACTCTAAGGCTCACTAGTCACCAAGCCCTTAGACCCATGCACACAGAGCTCCTACTCAGTTTTTTAGGGTCTGACTCAAATAGGAATGTCTAAGGATTGCCAGATATTTGAGGAAAGTCACATGAGTCAGAGAGAACTAACAAAGGATTGGTAATATCAAAGAGTAAACAGACCAAAAAGGTGACGGCATTAATAATGAATATACATTCCAATTTTCAAGAAAGGAGATGCCAAGGTGTGCAGGAACACAAGTAAAGTGATGCTCCAGGTGATGCAGCAAAGACTTTTACCTTTCAGGAATGCTGGATGTTCAAGCTGGATTCAGAAAAGGAAGAGGCACTCTAATTGCAAGCATTTGGCATTTGCTGGATACTGGAGTGCTCCAAAGAATTTCAAAAGGTTAGTCTATGTGTTATAGACTTCAATAAAGCCTTTGACTACATCAATCGTAAAAAGCTATTGGTTGCTCTAAAATAAATGGCGTGCGTCAGCATTTGATCATCCTGACATGTAACTTGTACAGTGGACAGGAAGCCTCTGTCAGGGCAGAATATAGAGAGACCGGAGAGTTTCCTACAGGCAAAGGTATCAGACAAGGGTACACTTTGTCTCCCTATTTGTTTAATCTGTACACAGAGCATATCATACAAAAAACTGGACTAGATTCAAAGGAAGGAGGAGTGAAAATTGCTGGAAGAACTACCAATAATTTCAAATATGCAGATGACACCATCTTACTGGCAGAAAGTCGCAATGATTTAAAAGGACTTCTGATGAAAGTGAAAGAAGAAAATGCCAAAGCAGGTCTATATTTGACCAGCAAGGCAAAAATCATAACTACAGAAGAAATACACAACTTTAACAAAGACAATTAAGATATTGACATTGTTAAGGTTTTGCTTACCTTGGCTCAGTCAGCAATTCAAATGGAGACTGCGGCCAAGAAATCAAGAGAATGTGGAGACTTGGAAGGGCAGCAATGAAAGAATTAGAAAAGACCACCAAAAGCAAAGCTGTGTCATTAGAGACCAATACTTAGATCATCCACACCCTTGTATTTCCAATAACCATATATGGGTGCAAAAGTTGGAGAGTGAAAAAGGCTGATAGGAAAAAAACTGATTCATTTGAAACATGGTGTTGGAGGAGAGCTCTATGGATACTCTGGGCCACCAGAAAGGAAGAACAAGTGGATCCGGTAGTTTGCCCGAAATATCACTGGAGGAAAAAAGGACAAAACTGCAGCTGCCCTACTTTGGGCACATCATGAGAAGGCAGGGTTCTTTGGACAAGACAATAGAACTGGGAAAATAGATGACAACAGGAAAAGAGGAAGACCGGGGGACTGACTGCGTGAAATAAGGCACAGGCATGAGTCTACAGGAGCTGAGCCATTGTGGACATCACTCATTCACAGTCGCCAGGAGTCAAAGCTGACTCAACAGCAATTAATACACTAATAATGGAAGGGAAACATTTTAAAATTCAAAGCTTAGCCTAGAAGGACCCAGATCAGAGCAACAATAGTACCAGAAACAGAAAGCAAGAAGTGAGGGAAAAACTACCAAAGAAATATTTCAAAAATTTCCTAGAACTAAAGAATATTAACTTTTTCAACTAAAAGAACCCACTGGGTATTCAGAGAAATAAAGGAAAGAAACTACACACTAAGCGACATCATTGAGAAATTCAGAATAGTAGGGATAAAAAAAAAAGAGGTTGCCAGACAGTAAAAAACAATAGGTCACATATTAAAGGACTGACCATCAGAACAGCATTGGACTTCTCAAGAACAGACAGTGCCTTCAAAATGCTTTAAAAGCATCATTTCCAACCAAGAATTCTACAGTCAGCCAAACCATCAAGCTTGAAGGCAGAAGAAATGTTTTTTAGGTCCTACATTATTTTCCTCCCAGATACCCTTTCTCAAGTGGCTACTGAAGATGTACTGCACTACAACCTGAGAAGAGAAAGGGGAAAAAAGAGGAAGACAGAATCCAAGAGCCAAGGAATCCAACAGAGGAGGGGGGAAGAGAGCTGCCAGGATGATGACCAAAGGAAAGCCCTGGGACAGTGATGGCGAACCTTTTGAGCTCGGCGTGTCAGCATTTTGAAAAACCCTAACTTAACTCTGGTGCTGTGTCACATATAGAAATTTTTTGATCTTTGCAACCATAGTAAAACAAAGACTTATATTTTTGATATTTATTTTATATATTTAAATGCCATTTAACAAAGAAAAATCAACCAAAAAAATGAGTTCGCGTGTCACCTCTGACACGCGTGTCATAGGTTTGCCATCACTGCCCTAGGACAACAGTTGCCCCACCAGCTCTAGAAACGCTGATTGGAGCAAGAGGGTAGAGGTGTCAGTAGGGTTGCCTTCAAGAAAAAAAATGAAGCTGAAAGAATATCTTAAGTATTTAAATATATTCAGAGATTCTCAGTATATTAAAGTGTTTGGGATTGAATTCGTTGTGAATACAAAGCAAACTAAGCAAATGAAAAATGGGGAGGGGGAGGCAGGGGCAGGATGCAGCAAAAAGGTAATCAAAGTTCACCAAATGGTTCTCATGGGAATAACTGCAAAACCATAAACCCTAAATCAGTGGTTCTCAACATTCCTAATGCCGCAACCCTTTAATACAGTTCCTCATGTTGTGGTGACCCCCAACCATAAAATTATTTTCGTTGCTACTTCATAACTGTAATTTTGCTAGTTATGAATCGTAATGTAAATATCTGATATGCAGGATGTATTTTCATTGTTCACGACCCACAGGTTGAGAACCGCTGCCCTAAATGGTCAGCTAAATCGACTCAGGTAAATACTGATCTGTATCAGGTGAAACCCTAAATTAAATCAGGTGAATACTAATTTAATCCCAACTGGTGATTTGTACAACTATATTGAGAAAATGAGAGGGAAAATGTGGATATGTTGAATTGCATATATGTTGGGGAGGGGGAAAGGTTAGAGGGTGTAAGAGAGCTAAATCCACATATTTTTAGAAACTAATTCATAATATCAACAACGAAAAAATCCATGCAATAGTAGCATAAGAAGTTTAAGCCTGGAGATAACACAAGAACAGGTAAATTATTTGAATATGCTAGCTTGAGAAAGTGGAATTTGCAGAGGGTGGGAGGATGAGGCAAAGAACTACTACTTTTTATTGTAAGCCTAATGGTACTATCTGACTTTTTAAACTATGGAAAAATTAACGTAAGAGAAAAATTTGGACATTTTAAGGATATTTAATTATCATGAGTCTAAAAGAAAAAGCAATTAGATCGTCATCGACTTCTAACAATTTCATAGTTTTTTAAGTTGCTAACAATAGTTATACTAAAAGATTACAAACATACCTGATTCAAGGTATTTTTTTAATGATTCTTCAAGTGAAGGAACAGGCAGTGATGGAAGAGAATCCTGGTACTGAAATGTTCGTTCCTCAGTTGACTTAGCCAATTGATTTTCCATGATGCAATCACAGTAGGAAAACTAAAAAAAAAAAAGACAGCACTCACAACTTCAACCTCATAAATATTTTTATATATGGTAGGTCCAATTCACTAAATCAGTATTTAGGTACCACAGTATAGCCAGGGCTTGGTCCTCATTCTTTTTTTTTTCATAAACTTCTCAGTGAGAGAACCCATTTTTTAAAAGTATAGACTCTGAAGGAAAGCCAAGCTTGCCACCCCAAAATATGCATTTTTTGGGATATTGATTATTTTAAGCTCGTTATTTTTAAGAAACAAAAGATTCAGGAAAAACTTTGACATTCCTTCAAACAACCTAAAAGAAGTTGATAGAGGACCTGCTTCAGGGAGGACAGTAATAGATAACTATAATTAAACTAGTGGCCCGGTGCATGGATTCGTGCACATTGAAAGGAAATTAATTAGAAGAAATATTTTAATATCGCTATTCACCCTTTCTCTATAATAGAAGTATCAACCAAATTCACGATCGACAATGACAGATCGAAACACATGCGTGCGATTGGCACCAGCGAGAACTTTATATGTATTGTGCATGCAGGAGTCAACCTTATTTTTAAATTGCCAGTGCATGTCATATGTACCAGCTCGTCAGTCGGACAGACTGTCGGTCATTTAGCCTTTTATATATATAGATATAAGTTAAGTGTGATATACAGGTCACTTAGCCTTTTATATAGATATAGATATAAGTTAAGTGTGATCATTGCTAAAGATAGCCCAGCAAACATTCATTTACCAAACACTTGCTTTCCTATCTCCATGTTAAATGCCTCCCTACCCTTGGAAACCCCACACCACAACCTCCCACTTCTTTTTAGCTCAAGATGGCAAATAAGCCTTAACTGCCAGTCCTGTCCTCAGGGGCCCACATTCTTACAGAACCTCAGTATGTATATACATAATAAATTTGATTACTTTCTCCTGTTACTGTTTCACATCAATCTGATTATTGGACCAAATTGAAGAATTTAGAATGGTAGAAGGAAAAGTATTTTTCCTCCCCTACAACTCAAAGTACTAGAAGTCAAGGAGTAAGCAGTGGGACCAGGAAAATTATCATTTACTGGGCACCTTCTATTTGTTAAATATTGCAGTAGGTGTTACAGAACATGTGTTATATCCCTAATCTCCATATTATTGCTGAAAGCTGGCATTCACTGCCATTTTACAAATGAAGAAACTAAAACTCAGACAGATTTGGTAACTTGCCTCAGAACAAACAAACAACGCAAATCCAGATCTGAGACTATAGTCTTCCCCTATACAATGCTACATAATAGTGGGGAGGGGACCTGCACTAGGTCTAAATGGGTAGGTAGAATTCAGATGTATAGAAGAGGATAATGGACTGAGAGAACTTTGGAGAGCAAGTATCTAAGAATATTACAGAATACATAAAATCACATGACAAACTTCTGTAATCTAATTGTGCAGATGGTATGAGACCTACACAGAATGGTTTCAAGTTTCCCAAAGCAATCTTGAACATTTTCCACAAATGTACTAATTTTCATCAGAAAATTCAAACTAACCCAAAGCGTAAATGAGGCATACAAGTGCTAAATGAAAAATGAGCTTTCTCAAAAAAGCCTTTATAAAGTAATTATATATTAAAATAGCAATTGAGAAATCAAGGAACCCTAATATTGAGTAAGAATTCCCTCCCCTTTCAAATACTACCTTTTAAAACTAATATCAAAGACAAAATATTCCACTCATAGGAGGTTACAGAATAAAAACATCGAAAACAAGGGTATGGTAGAGATTCTTTTCAGCCAATATGATTTCCCCTTCTTTCTTAACAGAATCTCGAGTTTTTGGCTGGACAAGTAGCTACATAGCTATAGCTCTCCCACCCTCCCTTGGAGCTCAGCATGGCTTTGTGATGGGTGTGTCACCTCCAGGTCATGACCCTAGAAAGGGTTACATGTGCTTTGTCTCCTCACTGCCTAGCAGGTAGTCCCAACTGGAAGAGCACCTTGGGCCCATTTATGGAAGCCATGTACATAATGTACAGGCATACCTCAGAGATATTGTGGGGGTTCGGTTCCAGACCACTGCAATAAAGTGAGTTGTAATCTTTTTGCTGGTAGTGGGTCTTGCCTTCAATTTGTAAAAAATCTGTGAAGCGAAATAAAACGAAGGATGCTTGTAATGACGTTGTCAGAATCTTCCTACTAGCCCTGTACTCCTCCCTCTAGATTTATGGGGGGGGGAAAAAAAAAAGCTTTTATTTATACCATTGTATTTTGGGTTTCCTTTGTTAGGGTAGAAGAGCTTAGAGTAGCCTATACCACTAATAAAAAGATACAATCCAAAAATGTGATACAATAGAGCTCTCACAGTTCCTCAGCCTCTTCCTGTCTGACTTTCGCTGCACTTCACTTTAACTACCCATAAACATGGCTTTAGACCTAATGGAAATGTAGATCTGGGTTCAAATACCAACTCTGCATTTTCTAGACATGTGTCCATGGGCAACTAACTTTAATTCCATTTCCTTAACTGTAGAGAGCATCTATAATAATCAAAGTGTAATATGCAAATCGACCAAACAACCGAACAGCAGAATGACCATCTGGATGACCTTCTGGATGACCACGCTATGACACGCACTGGTGCCAGGCCAGCCAAGGCAGGTGTGATGCACTTGGTGGAGCTGGGGGGGGGGGGTTGGTGGAGCTGGAGGGGGGGGCGGGAGGGGGGGGGTAGCGCCACGATTGCCCCTCAGAAGGAGGCCCAGGCCACCCTCTGCAGGGCGATCGATGGGGGGGCTCCATGATTGATCGCCCTGCAGAGGGAGGCCCAGGCAAGCCAAGCAATTGCACCTCACACCTGTCTCCCACAGAGGGAGACGACGTGGGGGTGGGGGGACAGCACTGCACAGATGGCAAGCAGTGGCAGCGGTAGGGGCGGGGCCAGCTGCCAGCAGCCGGGGGAAGGAAAGTCCCCATAGGCCCTGATCCCTGGCCAGGCCTAGGGACCCTACCAGAGGGGTCCTGGATTTCGAGAGGGCGCAGGCTGGGCTGAGGGATTCCCCCCTGCACCGTACAAATATCATGCACCTGGCCTCTAGTAATCATATAATCAAACAAAGCTGTTGAGGTGTTTTTTTTTAATAGTGCACAAAATAAAAATAATCCGGTTCAGATGACCATATTATGCTAGCTAGGCAGAATTTCTATGAATGCCCCCCTGGTACCCACCCTCCCACCCCAACCCACAGAACCTGTGAATATGAGATTTTCACTTCCATGCTTGTGATTTTGTTATTTTACACAGCACGATTAACCTTAAAATAGGGAGATTATCAGGTGAGCTTCATCTAATCACTTGAGCCTTTAGGAGCAGAAAGCTTTCTCCAGCTGGTGACAGAAAAGTCCAAGAGATTAAAACCACAAAAGGTGTTGTCTGGCAGGTGGTCTTGTGGAAGGAAGAGAGGCCCAGCCTGACAGCCAGGAAGGAAATGGGAACCTTTGTCCTACAGCTGCAAGGCGATGAATTCTGCCAACAACCTCAATGAGCCTCCTGGAGGTGGGTTCTCTCCCAGAGCCCCCAGACAAGAACCCGCACCCAAAGAAACATTCACTTCAGCTTTGTGAGATCCTAGGCCGAGTACCCACCCGGGCTTCTGATCTACAGAAGCTGTGAGATAATAAATTCGTGGGTTTTTTTATTAAGTTTGTGATAAATTGTTATGGCAACAATAGGAACCTAGTACACATATATAGAAAAGCTATTTTCTGTATTCCTCAGCCTCTAGGAAACTGAGACCAAGAATACCAATTCCATACCCACTCAAGTCTTAACTAACCAAGAGGTACACATTAAAATAAGAATTATCAGATTCTTTCATGAAGGATGCTTTTTAAATTCTCAATCATAAAGATTAAATTAAATAACATAATTCCAAAAGAACCTATATGTGCAATAAGAAAATGATGACACTGGATTTCATTATAGTGGGCTTCCTGGGAGCCAAAAGATGTAAAATCAAAGTGGAAAAGAGAACCAGGAACAAGAAGTAAAAATAATAATAACAATAATAATCTGATTGCCACATACCAGAACACCAAGAGGAGTTGTTTAGGAGTTCCAGGAGCCTGTTGCAACAATTCTGTTTTCAGATCACGGGGGCTGAACTAGGCTGGTGACTGTGGGAAGAAAGAAAGTAAATAATTGCGGATGGGAGGGGGCGGGGGGGGGGGTGTTTTGGCAAAAACTGGTGAAAGAAGGTGCAAGACGGACAATCTAGAGATTGGGAGGCCCCACGACTCAAACTTTTGGGGAAAGCATAGCAAACATACTCCAAAAGTCCATCTGCTAGAGAATCGGGTAAAAACTACTACACGGCTCACTAGTTTGCAAACAACCGCACTGCCCTCCATTGGGTCCACAGGGTACAAGGCGACAGAGTTCAAGGCTGGGCTCTAGAGACGGAGGCGTAGAGAGCGACCCGAGCTCGGAGACTCCGCCCTCCAACCAAGGTCAGCTCTGCACGCTCGGGAGGCCACCGACGGAGAGAAATCTAACCCAGCACCGCGACGGACCCGCCCGGCGGCCGACACCGGGGGTACCTCCCCGACCCCGCAGGCAAGACGCCTGCTGACCCCACCAGGCCGAGTCCTGGCCCCTGCCCCGCCTACACTACGTAACTCGGTTCTACACCATTGAACTGCCCCCCACCCCGGGCAGCTTCGGGGAACCGGGAGCGCAGTCTCGGGGGCCTCACTCACCCCGCGCCCTTCGCCCATTCCGCCGCCGCCGCCGCCGACACCCGCACCAGCCCGCTCCCTTCAGGCCACCGGGGAGCGGGGATTGGGTGGAAAGCTGCGAGGTCCGCCCCCTCGGCCGCCGGGGAGCGGGGATTGGGTGGAAGCCCAGAAGGTCCCGCCCCCCATTCGAAGGCGGGGCCGGGCCGGGCCTGCGCTCTGCCGGGACCGGCCCCGCCTCCCGCGGGCGCCTCGGGCTGGGCAGGTTCCAGGCTGCGGGCCTGGGAAAGCCCGGAGGATGCGGGCGAACGGTGCGACCCGCCTGGCGGCGCTCAGTGACTCGCTGCGGGCGGAGCACAGCGCCCAGGACCGACACGGCGGGTCTCGCCCCCCCACCCCCCGCGCCGCCCACACATACCTAACCCTGTGGGACCGGCGCGGGACTCGATGGCCCTGACCCATTCCTACCCAACTTGCTCAAGGCTCCGTGCCCCGTTTCCCTTCCGCTTGCAGCCACATCTCGGGTTTACCAGCAGCTTCTCCCCCTCCCAGAGCGACTTTTTCCGCCACCCCAACAGCAAGAAGTGATGCCAACGCCTTCTAAAGGAATCTCATTGTTCACCCTGTGCGGGAACCACCACGCGTCCCTACCTGCCTCTCTCACCTTCACCCGCGGAGGCGGGAGTCCGCCCCGCTGGGCGTGCTGCAGCCCATCCCCGCCTCCCGGCCCTTCCACGGGTCTGCACGGTGCCGAAGGTCCCGGGAGCCCCGGGGATGCTCGCACTGCAAGCTTGGAGTCATGTACGATCGCGCCAAAAAATAGAGTTTTTTAACCAGAGTGGAACTAGGCAAGTTCTAGAGGAAGATCATAATGTAGTTAACTTAGTTTCACAGGTTAATCTATTTTACATTTACTTCCTGAAATAAAATAGACTGTTTCATTTTAAATACACTGTGTATTTGTTGTGAGCCCTGACCGGTTTGGCTCAGTGGGTAGAGCGTCGGCCTGCGGACTGAAGGGTCCCAGGTTCAATTCTGGTTGCAGGCACATCCCCAGTAGGGGGTGTGCAGAAAGCAGCTGATCGATGTTTCTGACTCTCTATCCCTCTCCCTTCCTCTCTGTAAAAAATCAATAAAATATTTTTTTTTAAAAAAGAAACAACAGTAATGTACAGTGACTCTAAACTAGATATCAAACATTAAGAACTAGATTTCAAGTTAACATGTCAGATCGAAGGTCCTAATCCTTTATCTTTCCTAACTCCCTTGGTGAAACCTGACCTGAAGGGAACTGAGGCTATGTATAAATACATATTCATTTGGTGTGAATAGCCATAAGTTTCCTGCAGACCCCAGTGCGGTTCCAGCCCTTGTTGGAGAGGTTGCGTAATATGTGGCAGACATGCCTTTCTAGTAAAAGTTCTGAATTCTGAAATATATCAGGCCAAAAGTTCAGATAAGGGAGTGTAAACTTGTATAAGTAATTTCTGAAGCAATAAAGAACTTTTCTCTTATAGCATATAAGTGCTGTGTTGTGAATAATGTTAAAATTCGCTTATTCTTAAACAATAATAAAAAGCTACTCAGAAACCTTCATGGGGAGGGAGGGGCGGGAGCAGGCTGGAAGGGGTTAATGGGGGGGAGGAAGACCTATGTAATACTTTCAACAATAAAGATTTTTTTAAGAAAATTAATTAATTAATTAAATGAGAAAGAAAAAGAAACCTTCATTGAATTATTTTTCTCCTTGCTAGCGAATTTTAGCACCTCTTTAAAAGTTTATGCATGTTTAATGCCTGTTGGTGGCATAAAATTTAGGGTCACTAAGTTGCACTGTCATTCTCCTAGTCTTGATATTTATTTAAAGGGAAACAAGATATTTTTGTAAAGATTTCTGGATTAATGGGGGGTTGCGGGGGAGAACTGTGGGACTGAATGAAAATGAGTTGTACAGAAACTTGATTGTATAGGAGGGGGGAAAAGGTTATTTTTTAAAATAGATTTTAGGAATGAAAAGTAAGCTGTGAAGAGATAGGACCAAAGGAGAATCTTTCTCTTTCAAGAAGGAATTCATTACTGAAGGAGAGAACGGAGCTTGCTACTCGGGAAGCCCTCCCAGAGCCCTGCTGCATTATGTTATATAGTTCCTGCATCGCTAAAGGCAAGATCAAAATACAGAAGTGCCTATAGATCTTTCTAGGCATATTGTTAATGTTCCACTTAAGTCACATCTGTGTCCACTGAGCTGTCGCACCTGACTTGGAAGACAGCTGTTTTCCGTTCCTTGATTACTTCAGCTTCAGAAGTCGGGCAAATTGGATACAAATAATATGGATGTATACAAATATAAACTAAGGGTTTTCTTAGGGGCAACTTCTCCATTATATTTAATAGAGGATTCTCTTAAGTAGCAGTCTTTCCAGTGTATGGTATAGGCGCTCCATATCATCACTACTTTTCAGGAAAACGAAAGGCCCTGAAAACATGCCTTTCCCCACATTTTGGAGAGTGAGTTTTATGAATGAGTTTGGATAATATGAATTTAATGCTTATGTTTATTCCTTGATACAACATATTTTTGAGGAAACATTCCATTTAATCAGGCATCAAAAGAAGAGCATAACCGAAACCGGTTTGGCTCAGTGGATAGAGCGTCGGCCTGCGGACTGAAAGGTCCCGGGTTTGATTCCGGTCAGGGGCGTGTACCTGGGTTGCAGGCACATCCCCAGTATGAGATGTGCAGGAGGCAGCTGATCGATGTTTCTCTCTCATCCATGTTTCTATCTCTCTCCCTTCCTCTCTGTAAAAAATCAATAAAATATATTGTTTTTTAAAAAAAGAAGAGCATAAGGGCTCTTCCTGAATATCTTTTCTCCTGAGAAATAGAAACTTGACAACTTCATGAAGTGTTTATGGCAAAACCTCAAATGACCTACTCTTAGATCAATAAATATAAAATAGCTTTAAAGCACTAAGATTAAGGATACATTATCACATTAGTGTTTACAGAGTGATGTATCGACTTTTATTCAACATTGTATTCTTGCTTTGTTGAGGAAAATAAATTTTGTATCAAGTGCTGAGAATGCCGGCCTTCCTAAGTCTCTTCTGGGTTCCGAGACTTATCTTGGTACACAAAGCCATTTATACTTTAGGGCTATCACTTTTCCAGATAGAGTTTTGATGATGAGAATATAATATTCTTGAATAAACAGTGAACTGTTATAGATTTCAGAATAGCCTTCAGGAACCTCACGATTTCATAGCAGGGTCATTGTAATTCAGATAATGTGGGGGTAAAGCAGGGTAGTATATCCGAGCACTCACAGTAAGTAAGGTCTAGAAACCTCTTTCTGCTGCTCAGATGTGTGGATTTGAGCTAATCACTTGAACCCTAGCTAGCCGCCAGCATTTTCTGGGGAGTGGTTCTTCTCTAAGCGCCATGGTCCCCACCTTCTATATAGTTCTGAGAAAGTCCCAATGAGCTTTATAAGGTGCCCCAAAGCAGGGCTCATTGCGACCATGTCTCTTGCTGGGCACAAATCCCACGGGAAGGTGGAGTAGACATGGTGTGGTCTGATTGGCAATCCACCACAGGGAACTTGTAGGATTCCTTGGAAAACAAAACGGATTCCACCATTTCTTAGGTCTACTATCCATTCTTTCTTACACACGAACTCCTACAGGAAACCTTTATTAGTGGTCTTCTTGTCCTCTTCTCACGTCTTCACCCAGGCTGACTGCACAGCCTGTTTCTCCACAGATCATTCCCAATGTCCGTAGGTTTGTAATGGTGAGCCATTCTCGGCTGCAAGCTCACCCTGGGGGCTTGAGCTACTGAAGTTGGTTAACTGGGACAGTTACTGTGACTGGGCAATTTGATACACCTGTTAACACTGGCTGCCTAATACAGCGCTTTCTTGTTAGCATTTCAGGTATTTTAGGCTCCACTCTGGTGTGCGTAAGATTCATTCTTTTCCTTTTTGTTTCACAGAGGCTGATATGTAATTAGCTAACGGGGTAAAAGGCTATACAAATAAGTATTTATTGAGCACTGCTCCTTGCCCAGTATTACGTTAAATACAAATGCAAATCAACAAGTCAATCCTGTATTTTCCAGTTTTCTGTTTCCATAGATATGACAGCTCATAGGTGGAAGGCCCAAGGCATTCTTTGTGGTATTTCATGGTAAGGCACGTATATTGTGAAAAATAATCATAGGCTGCCAAGTGTGCAATTTCTACAAAAAGTGCATTTGACATTCTGCTGGATAAATATGTGTTGTGTGTATTTTTTTCTTTTCATTACTTATATAATTCTTCTAGACAATGTTATCCTTTGTCTTAATACTTGCTTTTATTTTTATTTTTTTAAAAATATATTTTATTGATTTTTTACAGAGAGGAGGGGAGAGAGATAGAAAGTTAGAAACATCGATGAGAAACATCGATCAGCTGCCTCTTGCACACCCCCTACTGGGGATGTGCCCGCAACCAAGGTACATGCCCTTGACAGGAATCGAACCTGGGACCCTTGAGTCCGCAGGCTGACGCTCTATCCGCTGAGCCAAACCGGTTAGGGCAATACTTGCTTTTAAATAGAAATTCAACATAAGGCATTTTATTAGATACACTTTGTATGTCTCTAACACAATGCCAAGCCAAAGTGAGTGCTGTTTGAAATTTTTATGTGTGCGTGTGGGGGGGGGGGGGGGCGACACTATATAAGAATCTTTATCTCTGAGTTATAAGAATCTGAATTACTTTTTTTATTTTTTTAATACTATCTAAATTTTTATTTTTCAACCCAAAGTTGCAAGGAATTAAAAATCGTTTCAAATGTATTCAGTGTGTGGGTCCAAGGAAGTAATAAAACAAATATACTTGGTCTAGCTCAGTTAGAGCATTGTCCCTACACACCAAGTTGTGGGTTAGATCCCCACTCAGGGCACATAAAAGAACCAACAAATGCATAAATAATTGGACTAGGCGTTTCTCTCCCTCCCTCTCTCTCTAAAATAAATTTAAAAATAACCTACATCAGGGATTGCTTCCAAATCCTTATTGTTATTAGAAGTTTTTCTTTCATTCACTAGAATTTACATATATCTTTCATGGTTCACAATT